TCTCTCTCTCTCTCTCTCTCTCTCTCTCTGCGAATAGTGTTTCATATGAATAAATGTATGCTATATGTGTATATGTGATGTGCTAGGTCATAAGCGAGATTGTCCGTTTAAGGCCTGTGAGTGCAAGAAATGTGATCTAAACGCTCAACGAAGGAAATTAATGGCAAAGGCTAACAAAGAAAAGCGTAAACTAAATGATACGAAGAGTAACTCGAAATCGCATCTAAGAAGACAACGATCTGACGATTGTAAGCATACTTTGAAACTATTTTTATCGTTATTTTATATATCCATAAATTAAAACTTTACTTTACTTACAATTTTATGATTAAAAATAATATTTGTCACAATTATTATATTAAAATCATTAAAATTAATATTTTTAATAGACTTTTATAAATATTTTTGTTTTTAGATAACAATTGCAGGAAAAATTATAAGAATTAATCAAAATTAATGAGCGATTTTTCATTTAATTAACACTTTTATATGCACTTTATTTGTTTTACTAGATTTTACAAGTTTTGCAAAAATTTTTATAGAGTTAAAATAATAATTAACATAATTTAATGATTTGGTAAAAGTAGCAAAATTAACATAAACACATAATATGTACAGTATATCTGTAAACCATTTATAGCATAATGTATTGAATCAATACTATTGTACCGATCCATAGGCTCTTCTGAAACGGACAGAGACAGCGGTTACAGCATTAACTTTGAGGACACCGATCAAAGCAAACTGATTGACCCTTCAAAGCAATTCATGCAACTCAATAAATGCTTCAATCAGATTCAACACGAGCTGATGGGCGTAATGTCAGCGCAATGTATGGCCAAATCCATACTCTGGATGTTAATCGAAATGAACGCCACTTCTCTCGCCGAAGACACCAAAGAACTGGAAAATGTGATCAAAGACTCGATAATCAAATCGTCCGCTGAATACGAGTCAATGTTCGGCCGTTCCCTCCATCGCAATACGAGCCCCACTATGAGCTCAATGATAGGTCCCGTAACACCCGAGTCGTCCGCTATGTTAAGAGACTTCTACACAGCCAACAATTTCAAGTCACTCATTGACACAATGCATGATCAGAACCAGTATCACCCCTTCTTGTCTCAATTCCCATTTTTGAATCCAGTGCTAACACAACACCATCTCCATAACAAGTTCATGTATCCACAAATCTCAACATAGACTCAATGGTCAGCCGTTGGTCACTGACCATAATTAACAGATCATCATTTCCTATAACCACCAATCAATTGCCCCCCAAATGGCAATCAAAAACAAAACAGTTCTCAATAGTAATACTAATTGCAAATGTTTTAATGATTTTTTAATATCAATAATAAATATATCTATAATACAGTAAAAGTAAGTTTAAAAAACAAAAACTCAAAAATCAACTCATAATAACTTCGAGTATAATATAGAAGTGTTTTCTAGAAAAATAGATTTCTTAAAAACAAAAAAAACATATTTCNGCAAATGTTTTAATGATTTTTTAATATCAATAATAAATATTTCTATAATACAGTAAAAGTAAGTTTAAAAAACAAAAACTCAAAAATCAACTCATAATAACTTCGAGTATAATATAGAAGTGTTTTCTAGAAAAATAGATTTCTTAAAAACAAAAAAAAACATATTTCCTATAAATTGAATAATAATTCATTAAAAATTAATTCATTTGTTATATTATTTTAATTGTAAAACAAAAGGACACAAAAATAACAAACAAATAAATAAATAAACGTTGAAATGACAATAAATTGCAAACAATTAAAACTATTGGTAGTCTTTAATCATAAACTTTTCCTCTTCTTTCTTAATCCATTTGATGATGGCTTGGATGGCATTCAATGCCTGCAACTGAGTGATGGTCACATC